GTGGCGCGCTTTACTGCTGAGTCAACCATCTGGGTGAAGCTGGTCGTGGCCTGCGGCGCCGCGGCTGCCGTCGTCGGCGCTGAACCTGGCCTCGTCGGAAGGCGGCGCCTGTGGGCACAAGCAGGGCTCCGATAGGCCCAGATCGACTGGCTAGATGGTTTCGTAGCAAAACACAAGCTGCCACAGGGAGCGCGCCGTTGACACCCCCGCTGATTCACGCAGACACCGCAGCAGCTCAGCTGCGCCACTCGTCGGGGACATGCTTCGGAATGAGGTCGCTGTAGAGCCTGCTCCCATTGATCGCTGTCGCCCAGAAACTTCATACCGCGCATCGCCTGGTTGCTGGGGTCTAGGAACTGAGCTGCATCGGCGGGCTCGAACCCGAAATCAATCCTCCGGCGAATCGTGTCCTCGTCCAACTCCTCTAGCAAGTCCACGGTGCAGTGTCCTTGGGGAGAGAGGGTGGCTGCCTCGAACTCGCCCCCGTTCCAGGATGCCATCTGCCTGGCGCAGTCAACTAGTACCTCGAACTCATCGATCAATGGCCTGGGAGATAAGATTGGAATTCGCCCCGGTACTACGTTGATGTAGAGCGCCCCTGACTTCTGCTTGAAACGGGCCGGTGCGCGTGCTCCACCATGCCGCTTCCGCATCTCAATGGCCGTCGACACATTTCGAACTTGAAATTCTGGATGGGGCGGCCTTTCTGCTTGCAGTCTGCCGCGTAGTCCTGGACAGTCTCCGAGCCTGACATGAGCGTGGTGGCGCCACAGTCCATGACTCCGTTGCTGGCTGGGATAGCGCTGCTGCTGTTAGCATTCCCGTCCCAGTAGACCTCGTCGACCATGGGGCTCTCGTCGGGGTAACCCCTCTTCTTGTTGGGGGGCTCGGCGCAGCCCCTGGCCCAGGTGGCCTGGCTTCCCGCGCCGCAGCAGTTGGCCGACGGCGTGGACGTGGGAATGGGCCGTGTAGCTGCCCTGGCTCGCCCCATTGGGTCTGGCCCGTCTGGTCGTGCTCTCACATAGGCGCCGGGTGGTGGTGAACCACTTGGGCTGCCCATCCTTGCGATTGGCTTTCCGCGTCCTTTGGGGCCTCTGCTGATTGGCTTGCCTCGGCCGCCGGCGGCTCCAACCGGTGCTGCACTTGAACTTGATCCGCTCCCGAACATCGCCGCGACTGGGTAGAACCCTCGCGCTAGTTTCAGGTCGTTGGACCGCCCCCTTGCGTCCGCGCGGGCCGCGTGCACCTCGTCGTGCTCGCCGGGGCTGAGCTCGCGGGCCGCGCTGGACTCGCGTTGGTAGTAGCTCTCGTCGCAATCGTACCACGTGTCATCGCCCTCCGCCCAATACTCCTGCGCGTGCTCGTCCGTTGGCTCGCCCTCCGGCTCGACAGTGTAAGCTTCTTCTTTGTAGTGATCTCCTTCCTCGTCGACGAAATAAAATCTGCGCGCGTAATTCGGCTCGTGGATGATGCTCTCCTGCCCGAAGGTGGTCTCCAGCGCTTCAAGTCACTTGTTCCTGGGTGATGTCCATGCCGACCACCGACATGATGAATGCCTTCTATCCAGCGTTGTCGCCGCCGCCTCGTAGCGAGAGCCACCCTCGAACCTTGGCGGGCAGCTCGATGTCGCGCGCCTTGAGCTTCTGCTCTGCTGCTCGAACTCGCGAAAGGCAGGCGAAGAGCGTCTCGCCCCTGTACCTCTGCAGTTTTTAAAAGTACTCCTCGAAATCCTCTGCGAGCTCGGTGCGATCGTCCATATTGAATCGTTTCTGCAATCTGTTCATGAACAGCGTCGCCGCGTTCGGCTTGATGAGGTCGCCCGCTGGGAAGTCCTCCGCCTCGTCCCAGGCCTTGACGGTGAGACCTGCGCTGAACATGAGAGCCGCTGCGCTTTCTCCAGCGAGAGCTTCGCTATGAAGATCATCGCCCAGTTCTCTTACTCCTTCCACTTGCTGAAGGTGCCTTCGAACTGTGGAACTCCTCGCTCCGGTAGGATGCCCGCTAATGTCGCCGTCTCCGCCATCTGGCCGGAATCGAACTGCAAGGGGTCTGACACATCAAACGTGAGACGCCTTGAGGAATCTCCATCATCTCTTGTAGGCTGGTCTGCGAAATTGAGCGGCAACGGGTTGTAGGACCTCAACCGCGGGAGTTCTATGAAATCGGTTTCCGTAACCGAAGCTTATGGAAAGGTCGAACGTGAGCCTGGCGACGCGGGCCCCGCTACCAATATGAAATTATGAAAATCCTCGGAGTATGTGATGGCAATCAGAAAAATAAGGACGACTCAAATCGGATGTTTTCACACCGCTGCGCTGGCGACTCCAGGGTCCTGTCATGGACAATACGGTCGGACGCCACTAATCGTCCACCGCTCGTGCTTATAACGTTGCGCGCGCTCTGCCACTCTCTTGCTATGATGTATACACAGATGTACAGCGTATCTCTTACAATAACCCCCGATCCCATCCACGATCAGGTCCCAGCCTGGCGGCTTTGAGCCATTGAAAGTCCGCGCCGGCATCGCCGGCGCGCCGCCCGAAGGCCGGATCCGCCAGCGAGCGCCCAAGCGCACAGCCGCACCCCCCGCGCCTGCCCACAGCCTGCCCGCGCGCCCCATGCCCACCCGGAGGCGTCCCAACTGGGGCCTGAACAGATCTGGCGAGAGAAGCAAGCAAAAACTGCGAATAGACGGCAGTGGCAATGCGGAAAACACACGTGCATGAAATTAGCCTGGCGAAAGACCCAACCATATGCAGTTGTGAGTAATGTCGATGTGTGCTCCGCTTTCGGAGGAGCTCCCTGTTCACGGCCACCAAACGTGACCGGGGTGTGCCAAAAACTGTCCGGTGGGAGCATGCGAAACCAGCCCTTGGGGCCGTCGGTCGAATTCCTTCTGGGGCCACGAAGCGCGTGAAAGGTGTGCCGAAATAGGTGCGGTGGGCGCATGCGGACGCAGCCACTGGGGCCGTCGGTGGAGCTCCCTATGGGGCCGCGAACGGTGATGGGTGTGCCGACATGGGTGCGGTGGGCGCATGTGAACGCAGCCACTGGCGCCGTCGGTGGAGCTCCGAATGTGGCCACGAAACACGTGAGGGGTGTGCCGGAGTGTGCGTGGGTGACGCATGCGGGCGGTGGCACCGGGGCCTTCGTTGGAACTTCTTATGGGGCCACGAAGCGTGGGAGGGGTGTAGCGACATGGGTGTGGGTGACGCATGCGGGCGGTGGCACTGGCGCCTTCGGTGGAGCTCCCTATGGGGCCACGAACATGAGGGGGTGCCAAAATGGGGCGGCGCCGCCATGCGAACTGCACCATTGGGACCTTAAGTGGATCTCCCTATGGGGCCACGAAACGTGTGAGAGGAGTGCCAAACTGAGGCGGCGCCGCCATGCGCAGCTTGCCACTGGGACCTTAGGTGGAACTCCCTATATGTGCCCACGAAACGTGGGAGGAGTGTGACGAAAGGGGGCGGCGCCACCATGCGAACTGCGCCATGGGGCCATTAGGTGGACTTCCCTATGGGGCCACGAATCGTGTGAGAGGAGTGCCAAAATGGGGCGGCGCCGCCATGCGAACTGCGCCACTGGGGCCTTAGACGGAGCTCCCTATGGGGCCACGAAACCTGTGAAGGGTGTGCCAAAATGGGGCGGCGCCGCCATGCGAACTGCACCACTGGGACCTTAGATGGACCTTTCTGTGGGGCCACGAATCGTGTGAGGGGTGCGCCAAAATGGGGCGGCGCCGCCATGCGAACTGCACCACTGGGACCTTAAATGGATCTCCCTATGGGGCCACGGAACGTGTGAGGGGTGTGCAAGAATGGGGCGGCGCCGCCATGCGAACTGCACCACTTGGACCTTGGGGGGGGGGCTGCGTATGGGGCCACGAACCGTGTGAGGGGTGCGCCAAATTGAGGGTGACGAGAGGAGAGAGGAGGGGGAAGGAGGAGGGAGAGGAGGAGGGGTGAGGAGAGGAGGAGGAGTGAGACGCGGGGCGCTGTCTCTTCAAAACGAGGACCCAACACCACAGGATGGTTAGAAAAACACATAGTGACGCAGCGCCTCGGATTCCCGAGCTGGCTGCTTTTGTCCAGCACGGTTCGAGGGACAACTGCGCAGCTACCACCGACACGCCGTTGCAAAATAAGGCCAGGGAGGAGAAGAGTATTAGCATACGAGAATGTGCCAGACCATTGTGATCAGTACCGCTCTACAGCTTCACACCACATAAGCGTATTCTGTAAGATCGCTGGTAATGCATTCGGGTCGGTCCCTGCCACAGCGAGGGTTTCCGCACGCATCCATTGCAAACGAGGGCACCCTCGAGACCGTGACGGAATACAATTCCGACGTGGAACAATATGATCTGGAACAAACTCGAAAACTATAGCTTTCGGTAGGCTAGCGGGGTCGTCCAAGGCAAAACTACCAGACAAATAAAGCTGCCGTTCCAAAAAAGTGTTCGACGATGGGCAGACTCCTTCGAATTTCCTAACTTCTGTCTTGCTCACGCGAGACACGTCAACATACATAAGTTTGAATGCAAACCGTATACATCTGGCCAGGAAACCGTCGACCCGGTTTCTGTATGCTTGTGAGAGTATGCGCGATTCCAACTCGTACAAGAGTTTGGTAACGACGCATGGTTCCAGCACAGGGTCGGAGTCGCACCGCATCGACGGCGGATTGGTCAGAACGGGCTCCAGGTCAAGCCGCATCGCCAATGCATCGACGATTACGGCGCGATCCCCCGACCCCATCTGCTCTGGCCCCGACTTGGGAGGCCATGCCCCGCAACCGCCCCGCACGCGCATGGCCCACGTGGAAGAAGGAACATGATCACACGCGAGCATGAGCTTCCGGAGGTCCAGACGGACCTCTTGGATCGGCGCTGGGCCCCCATCCCTGGCGCGCGGAACGCGCCGCCGGGGGGGGGCCCAACGCCGACCCAAGAGATCCGCCCGTGCCGACCGTTCTTCGTCGCAGTCCGAGGGCCCCGCCTGCCCCCAGCTGCGGCCAGGGGCGGCAGCACGCCGCTCCGCGGCGCGGCGGCCGCGCCGCGCGGCGGCCGGGTGGATGCCCAGCGGTCGGCCCGCCGTCGCCGCGCCTGGGGGATCGGCTGCGACACGCCGTCCGACTGTCGGCGGCTGCGGGCTCTTGGGGACCCCTTGGGGGGCCTCGGGTCGGAGGTGGCCCGAGCTGACCCTGGCCCCATCTGCTCAGATCTCTTCGGGAGCGGCAAAGAGGGGGGTGTCCAAGAGGGGGGGCTGCAAATCATGACCGGCGGCATGTGCGCGGCCCAGCGGGGGGGCCAGGGACGTAATAAAACAAGAAGAGGCGCCACGAAATCTGGGGAAATATCCTGGCCCGCGCCATGATATCCACCCCCCCCTAGTCATCACCCCCCTCTTTTCCGCCCCCGATCTCTGGAGGAAGCACTCTTCAGGGCCTGGGACCATCACAAGAACGCATCGGGATGAAAAGCCGGCCTGAGGGACGGAGACGGCACGTTCGGAGTCTGGGGGCCGACGCCTCGAATTGATCGGGCCAGCGGACGTCTGGAGAAGGGGGCGTCTTGAAGCCCTCCTTTGGGGGCCGCCTTGGGCTATCGTTTCGCTGTTTTCTCGCGGCCACTGCGGGCTGCCTTGGACATACATGTCTGGCGGCCCTCCTGTGCAGTCGTGGGGGCCTGGATGAGACTCCAAGGTCATCCGAGGCTGAGTCGGGGTTCGATTCGAACGCTGACCACAATGGCAGTCAAACACCGATCGGCCTGGCCAGACAGCGGCCCACGTACATCGAAGGGAAAGCAAACGCATCCTATTCATCCGCACCATCCGCGCCATCTTCCTCCTCCTCCTCCTCCTCCTCCTCCTCCCTCCCTCGCTCCCTCCCTCCCTCCCTCCCTCCCTCTCACTCCTCCTCCTTCTGCTGATCGCCCCTCCTCCTCGTCGTCATCATTCAAATCCTCCAAATCTCCCCCCCTCGCAAAACACCGTGTTATTCCTTCTCATCTCCCTTCCGCTCCTCTCAACCTGCTCAATCCCCTCATTCCTCCTCCTCGCACCTGTTCGCGCCCTCCCCTTCCGGCTTTGCCTGTCCCCCCCCCCCCTGCTCGGCCTCCTCCCCCTCCCCGCTGGCCCGCAGCACGACGGCCACGGCGGCGAGAACAGCGGCGGCCACGGCGGCGCCCACAGCAGCGACACTCGGGTCGGGCGAAAGGGGGGGATAGCAAAGGGGGGGTTTGAGAATCAGCTCACGTAGCTGATTTTCCCGGCGCCTCCCGGCGCCGGAGGCGGCCATGTAGCGAGGAATGGGCCCCTCGGTGAGGCCAAAATCAGCTGCATGCAGCACATTTCGTAACCCCCCCTTTCCCAAACCCCCCCTTTCGCCCGACCCGAGACGCCAGCCACGCTGGCAGCCACGGCGGCTGCCGCGACTGCGGCCGCCGGGACGGCGGCCACGGCGGCGGCGTCCCTCTACAGGAGGAATCTTCAAAAATAGTCGAAATATAGCATGGGGATTTCTGGCATTCGTGAGCATTTGTGTTTGATAGTTGCTGGGGACGTCGCCCTCCCACGGCAGGGGAGGGCGGGTCGGGGCGCGGCTCGGCGGGGGAGCGCTCCTCGTCGCGCGACCCGGCGGCGTCCGGGCGGCACTCCTCTCGGCCGCGGGGGGGGTGCGCGGGGGTCCCGCTGCCCCCCCCCCCCCCCCCCGAGGCAGCACGCCCGCGCGCGCGCGGCGGCAGCCTGTGCCACGGAGTTCAAGGGGCCCCAGGACACACAAATAAATACACACAAATAAAATGGTTCCCCATATTTTCCCATATTTTCTGGGTTTTTTGTCTTCCCCACCACTTCCCATATTTTCCCATATTTTCTGGGGGATCGAGGATTAATTGTGTCGGTGTGTTTCTTTTCCCTCCTGATTTGTGTCCGCAGCGGCAGAAGGCTCGTCACGGTCAGAACTACGGCGGGCTACGCGGTAACGAACAGTGCCTGCACCAGTGGCGCGGGGCGCGGGAAGAGAAGTGGCTGCGGAGGGAGGAAAGGCCTAAGGAGGGGGGAAACCCGCTCAGACGCGGCGGCCCCCTGGCCCCAGACACCCAACATTTCGATATGCACTGAAAAAGACTTGTTGATCACCACTCTCGGCCTCTGGGTTTCCCTCGACAAGCCTCACACTTGACAAGAGACGGCTCGGGATTGAACACGGGCCCTGGGGGGAGGATCGGGACTTCCCGGAAACCCTCTCTTCACAAAGTCACAACATCGGAATCTTCGGGGCCCGCTTGGCAGGCAGGCGACGGTGTTGGACCAGAGGGCAGGTCAGGATGGCCGCCTCTTCCAAGCTCGGACCCCGCGCGGGGGTCCACTCAGCGGGGCCTCTGGGGCCACCGCAAAAGCGGCCTGCGCGGGGGCGAGGGATCCGCGCCGAGGGGTGGGACGTTCTGGGGGCTCCGGGGCCCCACGAGCTGTGGCGGTCGCCGGTCGGGCCGTCGCAACAGGGGGGGAGGAATGCGCTGACCCACCTAATCTCGCACATCGCGACCCGTGATTCGCGACAGACTTTGAGTGGTTGCGCCGCCGCCCTGGAAAAGGGTAGCTCTGCAACCCAGACCGCGACGCTCGATTCTCTGGGCGCCCCTGTGGGCGACCTAGAAGAAGGACTGAAACGACGGGGCACCAAGGGATCCAAAAGAATATCCGCTGGAAGGGCGTCTGGAAGCATCCGGGGGGCCTCGGGCGAGGCTTGAGCGGGCAGGCGTGCTGAAATTGGATGTGAGGCAAAGGTGGGCGGGATCGGACAAAACGGGAGGGAACAGACACGGGGCCAGAGCAAATTGTCTCGACGGATCGTACGGCATCGCCAGCGCATCGGCGATGCGGTGCGATACTCCCACGAAGGGAAGGGGGGTGGAGAGGAGGCGGGATGTTGTCTGTTGGTTCGTGTTGCGTTGTGTGTTTGTGTGGTTGATAAACTAGGCCGAAGGCCTGAGACAGATCACGCGGGCGGACTTAGGCGAAAACCATGCATAATAAACGAGCCTGGGCACATCCCCCAGAAAAGAGTGTCAGCACGAGGGAACCAATGCACAAGTCAGCTCCCAGGGCGAGGTCGTCCTCGACCCAAAGAAAAGACCACCGAACTTGGCGTCAAGGGCAATCTCACCGAAGGAACGTGGCCTCAACTGACCGTGGGAAGCGGCCTGTAGAGGAGTTCCAGTTCGTGGGTTCAGGCCCGCCCAGAGCCTTTCTAGGCAAGGGCGGTTTTTACTAGAACCCCACCTCTACAAGGCTGTGCCAAGAACTGAGCGTTCTCACTAGAGTGGGCCCCGCAACTAGCACTCGAAATGAATGGGCCCACGCTCCAGAGCGGCGGCACCTGCCTGGGCAGCGCGCGAGGGGGGCGACGGCGTCTCGAACGCGGGCGGCAGAGAAACAGCAGGCGAATCGAAAACCGCGGGCAGCCTGGACACGGTCGCGGGACCCCACAGGGGGAGGCCCTGGTCAGCAGAAGAACCCGGGGCCCCGCCCAGCCGCGTTGCGCGCCGTAGCTGTCCGTGCCGAGGGGCAACGTCGGGGCCCGCGGCCTGGAGAGTCCGAGCTGAAAGCTGACCTGCAGAGGTCGCACGCTCGGGAGACCGAGCATCCCGAGTTCTGGCCACGGGGCCCGACGAGCGAAGCTCGGCGACCTCGCGGGCACCGAGGTCCGCAGCGCGGTTCCCCATCGTTCGTGGGCTCCCCGCTCGACCTCACCGTCTCTGCAACGGCGGCCTGCCCGTTTTCACCTTGCGCGCCGAGATCCTGCCCGCCAAATCGTCCGCCCGATCCCGTATCTGATCTGGCACCAGAAGCCAACCGCTTCGCACTAGGAGGCTGTCGTCTCGAGGCGGCCTCTGGCCTAACTCATGACTCTCCACCCACTGGCAATCAGGACAAACGCCGCAAGAAGGCCAATGGCAACATGGTCGAGGTACATTAGAAGCGAAAGCGTGGGCAATATCAGCGGCGCGGCGGTGCCCGGGCATGAGGCCACACAGCAAGACATGACGGGGGGCATCTTCGAAAGCCTCCGCACCATACAAGCCAGCCCGTCGGAGCAGCGGCTCGCCGCGATAGCAGCACAAACTTCGTCGCTAAGGAGACGGCTCCTGGGGCCCTGGGCCGATGATCGGGCGCCGGGACGTGCCTCCAGAGGGTCCAGTCGGGGTGCTCGAGAGTGCCCGCGCGGAAGGAGGGGAGGGGAGTGGCGCAGTCGCGCACGTCGAGCCAATCGGCGACCGTCCCAGAGCAGTGGCCACGAACTGGGCAGCGCGGGTCCGTCGCAAGACCACGTTTAAACTTGCCCTGCTGGCCCCAGATGCCGTTCGCTACTGCGCCCCCGAGGCTGGCCTGGAACTGGGGGGCCCAGTCGGCCGCCCCGGGCCCGTTGCACAAACGAGGGGGCGGGGGGAAGCAATGTCGACGGGGGAGGTCAGACATGACATCGCACTCCTGGCGAGCAGCACCCAAAAACCATTCCCCGCCGCGCTGTAAGCCAAACCGAACGTAAACACAGACTGGCGAAACCATTCTCGGCGCCATCTGCTGACAACAGGGCGCGCGCTGAGGAGCCGAGCCTCCAACCATTCCTGCTGCAGCAAGCTGCGGCGGCGGAGATTTCCACCTGGGCGGGCAAGGAGAACGTCATTTTATCCAAAGGAATCCAGGAACTCCATAAGGCCTGGGCCAACAAGCGCATTAGACCCGCCGTGCACGGCTAGGCGGGGTCGACCACCCAAGATGAGCTGGGCGGGAAGGCAAAATTCAAGACGAGAAATGGTCGAGCCGCGCGGCAGAAAGGCAACGCGCGTGGCCCCGTGCATCGGAACGGCCCTGCTCCAAACCCGACCCGAGACGCTATCCCCCAAACGCCCTTGCTGGATTCAGCCCGAGGCCGAGGCCGACGAGCTGCCGGCACTTGCCGCGCGCCGATCGGATAACGCGGATGCGGCTGGCACGGCGCAAAACGGAAACAATGCGCGTGTCTCTGGTGCTCACTCCAAGCCGCCTTCCACAGCGGCAGTCGATGCCCATGTTCCTGACCGATATCTTCAACTTGCGTCTGAGCAGCCTGCGCCTCCTCACCACCTTGTGGCCACAAACAAACTCAAACGTATGCGCCACTCCGTGTCATCGCTGGCCTCGAGGCTCTCCGAGATTAGGTCGCCTCGGATCCGTCGGTAGGTAGAGCTCGCTCACGTGCTCGGCAAAAGCTTTGGACTGGCTGACTTCGCAAAAGGAATGACGTCCACCACGTTGTCGGCATCAGCAACGCCCAGGACATAGATGACATGTCAACTTGCGGTGAACAAACGAATGGGGCTCGTACGGTTAAAAAAGGAGGCTTACATACTCAGGCGAATCGCGGGGTGGCGCCCGCCAACAAATCGAAACACGACGCGGCGGCGCCGGTGATTGGCGCCGACGCCCGGCCGCCAGCGGGAAGGCGACAAGAGCAGAGCGCGGGTTGAGGGAGCCGATGGAAACGGGCACGGAAAGAAGCGGGCCCACAACTCTAGAGTTCCCTCCAGGACCAGCTCGGTCGCTTTTCGGCTTCCTCGAGGCCCGCCAAGGGCCTGGACTTCCCGCAAGACACGCGCACACCGCGGCGCCCCGCAGCGAGTCCAACAGGGCGAGCCAGCCAGGCGCACCAGCGAAGCTCGGCGCGCCCTAAAGGGGCGTGGGACAGATGCGCATGACGTCCACAAGCAAATTGTGTCCGACACCGACAGCGGCCGTTGCTGGGCAGGGGGCTCGTTGCATCGAGCTGTTAACGTCCGCGGTTGCACCCCGTGGTTCCCCAAGCTCTCCGAGCCCTGGCGCGCGCAATAAAAAAGAATGCTTCGCGCCCCGCGAGGTTCTGTTCATCAGCCCCAGAGGGGGTCGATCATCTGTCAACCACAAGCTGACATTAGTCAGGCCTCGTGAGCAGGAATCCTCCCGTGCGCAAACCAGCGAAGCTGCAGCCTGCCGCGATCCTCGCGGCGGGCAGCACTAGTCGAGAGCGATGTCGTCCACGGGGATCAGGCGAGGCACGGCGCGCACCTGAATCAGGGGCCTCATTGGCATCAGGTTGAAACGGTACTGGGCAGCTCGCTGGAGCAAGAGGGGGCAATGAATCTATTCGCAAGCTTCCTAGATCTACAAGTACCGAGCATGCCGCCTGTTTCCTGCGCGTCGTCAGCTCTGCAACCGCCGCCTGGATCCAGACGCAGGTCTCGTAGCTTTGCCCCGCCGTCCCGAAGATGAATGACCGCTAGTTATCATTGACCGACCTGGCCCTCCATTCGTTCCGCATCCAGCGAGGTGGAGGGCCTGATGATGCCAAAAAACTGCCCAATTGCGCGAAGGCCCGACTTGGCCTCCGGGATGAGGAGCGCCATTCGCACGGCAAGGGCCTTAGGGCCTTGAAGCATGGGGTGCCACGCAGCAGTGAGGGCGGACAAGGCGTCATCGGACAAGAGCGCGACATGGCACGGGTGAAAGGCGCCTCCTCCCAAACCCGCGACGCCAAGGAAAGAGTGTGCGATCCTCCGCAATTCATCGATCTCAGGAAGGGCAAGATGATCTCCCAGGTCAGCCGGCAAACAAAGACCCTGGAGGCCACCGCCTTTGCCCCGCAGATCTTGTTAAGACTGGGTCCGAGCGACAGCAGCCTGCCGCGCCGCCTGTAGCCCTGCAGCTGGCGCCCACTTGGCCGCCGCCTGGAGGGCAGGCTCTTGCATCCAGCGGAAGGCCATGCGCGGGCCGTCTGGGGAGGTCGCGTCTCTGAGCCATTCGAGCTGCCACTTGTAGCGCTCGTGCGCAGCCCGTCTCGCCGCGAAGGAAGCGCAACGCCGGAGATCGCCTCGCCCAGAAACTGCAAACGTCGAACGAGGGCCCCAAAGGCCGGCCGCACATCGAGCTGGGCGCCTCCCACTGGAAACATGTATTTGAGCGACCTGATCAGCAGACGCCTCGCATACTAAGACTGGCTAACTTTGAGGAGCAGCTTCCCCTCCAAGACTCGATCCGCAAGCCAACCCCGGTGAGCTTCGGCCGCCTCGGGCTGAGCAGGCGAGGGGCCCCTGCGCCTTGGAGGTCAAAATGCAGGATGAGCTCGTCCTCGCAGGTGCCCAGGGCCCTGCCGACGGCAGAGGCAGGGGAGGATGATCTGTGGGCAACGGCCAATTCGGCTAGGACAGTGTCCCAGGAAGGCCTCGGGAGCAGGGGCTCAATGAGGGCTACGGCGGAAAAGACCTTGGGCTCGTGGACCTTGGGAACCAGGCTGCCATTGCCATGTGTGGCCAGGACGAGAAGCGCCGCCCGATGCGCGCGGACGTCGAACGCTTCGCAATGTCGCACATCACGAATGGCGATGGCGAGGCCCTGGTCGACGCAGGAGGAATCAAGCTCCTGCGCCGGGTCGGTCGCGAAGCCGGTGGCCTGGCCTGGACGCGCCAGGCGGGCTCCCAGAGATGGGGGCAAGTGCACCTCGTCGACCAAACTCGGAATCATCTTCCAGTCGGCCCCAAGAACGTACGGGCGGCCCATGGCTCTGACCATCGACCCGAGGTTCACAAGAATGTCTAAATTGAAATCGCTCAAACCCAGGCAAGGGCGGGAGTAGTCCGAGGCCAAAAGAGCGCCGCCGACATGCTCAGGTGCGTGCACCGGCCTCCTTTCCCGAAGCTCTCTTGGCGGCCCGACGCCTCCATGGGGCTCTCATGGGCTGCTAGGCACTCCGAGGTTCCAAGACGACCCAGGCAAGCCACCAACGTCGCAGAGATGCCCAACACTTCCACAACGCGCACCCAAGAGCCTTTAAGAAACGCCCGATGGGCCGGCTCAATGGGTGCCAAGATGTCTCCAGTGAGCCAATATACGCAACCAAGACGCTCTCCAGGAGGCCCTCGAGAGGCCAAACACATTGATTCTCTATATGGTAGTTCTATGTTTGGCGCTTTCCACACTCTCTGGTAGAAAATCGGTTCACTCACGGTCGTCGAGGGCCCAAAAGAGCCCAGTGAGAGCCACAAGAGAGCTGACAGCTGGCACGAGAGGGCCTCCAGAAGGAGCCACCACGGCCAAAGAGAGACGCAAGACGGCCTAAAGAACCCAAAGACCCCCCAGACGGCAAAGAGAGCCTCCAAACGGCTCGGGCCTCAAGACGGCCCAAGACGGCCCAAGAAGACCCAAGGGGACCCCAAGTGACCCCCAAGAGCCGCACAGGAGCCCAAGACAGTCCCGAGACGTCCCGAATAGTCCCCATGAAAACTCTTCAAGAAATGGAGACGAGAGGTCTCACATGTGACGGCATTCTGGGCGGTGCTCGAATGTCGCCACACAGAATGCTTCGCTGGCACGGTCGCGCATTTGCCGCATGCACCTGGATATGTGTATGCATCCTGAACCGGGGGAGGAGAGGCCGACGTAAAACGGAGGCCCCAAACCAAGACATCGACCTCGAAATCGGTTCGTGCCGCGCGTGACGTGCGTGCGGACAAATCGAATCTGCAGGATGGTGAGAGAGATCATGCCCAAGCTAGGGGTGGTTCGTACCAAAATGAGTCGCCTCCCGAGGCCCGGCCGCTGCTCCCAGGGTTCTCCCGATGGTGGTCCCGATGGCTGTCCCAGTGACTCCGACACGCTATGGCAAGCAGCCCACATCGGAATGCAAATCCAAATGCAATCGGAACCTAAATGCAAATGCTGTCCATCAGCGCAGGAGCCAGTGCTGCACGAAGCCCTGCTAGTGCTTCTAGCTTCCCAGAGTATCGCAATACGTTGACCCTGTCGTCCCAAACAAAGATCACGTCACAACCAGGACCAGCGCATATGCTGCATAAGTGTTACGAGAAGCGTGGGAAGGGCTAGACGGACTAGACAAACTAGACGAGCTTGACGGATCCGAAGAGTTTGAAGAGTTCGAAGAACAACCGAGTGTAAATCCTTCGCGAGGCCGATGCCCCACGAAACGCCGAACCTGCCCACCCCAAATCTCGTTATCACCCGTAGGCTGGCCAATGATGTGCGTTCTTTGTGTAATTGAATGCACGTTTATGTATACATAGCACTACATCGAGAGAAGAAGCAACAAGCGCGGCAAGATGATAGTCCAACCCCCACAACTGCATCGCTATGAACCTCAATTCTTCGCGCGAAACCCAAGGCAAGCGCTGGTTTGTCAGCGGTCCTCCCAACGCCGCAACGCCCGGGCCATACCCTCCAGCGCCGCTCGCCGCAGACCTGGGCGGGTAAACCAAAGAGCAGTAGCAGCAGCAGCAGTGGCAACAGTAGTAGCGCAGAGACAGTAACAATGATGGTTATGGTACAAGTTTGCGCGCGCGTGCTACCAGCAAAGAACAACGAGCGGCTGTAGTAGCAATTGCAGTCGTAGTCGTAGTAGTAGTAGTAGTAGTAGTATTAGTAGTAGTAGTAGTAGTAGTAGTAGTAGTAGTAGTAGTAGTAGTAGTAGTACTAGTAGTAGTAGTAGTAGTAGTAGTAGTAGTAGTAGTAGTAGTAGTAGTAGTAGTAGTCGTAGTAGTAGTAGTAGTAGTAGTAGTAGGAGTAGGAGTAGTAGTAGTAGTAGTAGTAGTAGTAGTAGTAGTCGTAGTAGTAGTAATAGTAGTAGTAGTAGTAGCAGTAGTAATAGTAGTCGTAGTAGTAGTAGTAGTAGTAGTAGTAGTAGTACTAGTAGAAGTAGTAGTAGTAGTAGTAGTAGTAGTAGTAATAAGTAGTAGTAGTAGTAGTAGTAGTAGTAGTCGTAGTAGTAGTAGTAGTAGCAGTAGTAGTAGTAGTAGTAGCAAGAGTAGGAGTCGGAGTAGGAGTAGTAGAAGTAGTCGTAGTAGTGATAGTAGTAGTAGCAGCAGTAGTAGTGGTGATGGTAGTAGTAGTAGTAGTAGTAGTAGTAGTAGTAGTAGTAGTAGTCGTAGTAGTAGTAGTCGTAGTAATAGTAGTAGTAGTAGTACCAGTAGTAGGTGGTAGTAATATTAGTAGTATTAGTCGTATTAGTAGTAGTAGTAGTAGTAGTAGTTGTTGTAGTTGTAGTGGTAGTAGTAGTAATAGTAGTAGTAGTAGTAGTGATCGTAGTAGTAGTAGTAGTAGTAGCAGTAGTCGTAGTAGTAGTAGAAGTGGCAGCAGCAGCAATAGTAATAGTAGTAGCAGCAGTAGTAGTAGTAGTAGTAGTAGTAGTAGTACACAACCGGAAAACAGTTATAACACAATCAACAAGACGATCGTTTGGAATGATCTGCACACGGCAACGCCCAAAGAGGACCATTAAGTGACATTCGCCTTTTCAATGTTGGCAGCGTGCGGTCATTGATATGCCATGCTTTGGCTTGCGCGCCCGGTGGCGACATTGGGAGGCGGACGCCACGTAATGCGTGGGTGCTGTTCCAAATTGATCCTTCACAGGGCCGCTGGCGTGGGCGGTTCCACGTTTTGACGTGCGACTTCGTTCCCACAGCCGGATGGCTGACGAGCACCGCGCAAGGCAGACGACACGTCCTTCCGTAACATTGCCAGGCCGAGGCCGCCTCGTACGACGGGCCCCGCCTGGCCTGATGCAACATCCGTTTGGCTTCCATCCTTGTGCCAGTTTTGTTATATTTTTTGTCACGGGGATGGGTACTTCTGCCTAAGTATTGGGTTTTCGCGCGATTCCTTCTCGTCTATTAGCGTGCCGCCTTGTGGGTCATGTGGGACGTGTGAGACTTGTGCCCCTGTGGGACTTGTGCGACTTGTGGGACCTGCGAGACATGCGGGGCCTGGGCGACTTGCGGGATCGGTGGGTCCTGCGGGACTTGTGCGACCTGTGCGACCTGCGAGAGTTGTGGGAGTTGTGGGGCCTGCAGGACCTGTGGGGCCTGTGCGAAACGTCGGCCTTATTTCGGGGAGACGTAAGACCCGGGTACGGGGGACTCGGAAATCCCCGACGAGGTCGTCAAAAAAATGACGAGGCCGAGCCTGCATTTTGACGAGGCCTCCCGCTGCAGACATCCCACGAAACTCCTCCTCGTCAAAATCCGAGGCGCGGTCGTCAAAAAACGATGGCGAACCCGAGTCCTGGCAAACCCCGGTCTTACGCTCCCCCGATTATTAGGACCTGCGGGGCCTGTAGGGTTTGTGGGAGCCGTGGGGCCTGTGGGACCTGTGGGGCTTGTGGGACCTGCGAGACCTGCGGGACCTGTGGGGCGTTGTCCAACAAACCATGTGGGCGATCCGGCGGGGGGCGGGTTCTACGATGTAAATTCACACACGGGATGCAGTTTAGGTTGCCGGGCAATCCCACTTAACGATCGGACGGGTGCGGGTTTAGTGTGTAAATTCATACAGAGAGCGCACTTCGCGTAGAGTGGCGTGCCCCGGCGTGCCCACTTTACGATTTGGTTGTTCAGCGTTTCGTGTGTGAAAACCATCGTGAAGTGGAAAATGTCTTTAATTACTAAATGAAAATATGTCTCCTTTTTTATATTCAAACAGTTCCACTTTACGATGGATGCTTCACGTCCCATGTTTTCACACACGAAACGCGGAAAAACCAAATCGTAAAGTCCTTCTCCCCGCCCGCGCTCCCCCCCTTGGTCCTCTGTCCATCTCGGTCTCCCCCTCCCCCCCCCTGCCCCGCTCCCGGCTCCCCGCACCCCCCTCCTGCCTCCCTCCCTCCCTCTGGAACTCCCCCTCCCCCCCTCCCTCCCTCTCCCTCCACCCCTGCATCCTGCTCCCGCTCACCGATCCCGATTTCCCGACCCGCCGCGCCGACCCTCGGACAGTGCGCGTCGGAGCCAGGCGGTGTGCATGTGCTGGAAGGCTCGGTCGAGGTCGCCATATCGCTCCTCCAAGACGCGCCGCAACCTGCGGTGGGGCTAGCGGGACACGCTGTGTCGGTCGGTGAGAACGAGTGGCGCCGAAGCCGCGCAACAATCGCAAGTCCGACCAGCAACAGGAGTCGAGCTGGTCACAAGGCGGGTAAGGCCTGGTCAGCACGGTGCCCCTTGCTTGTCGGGTTCTGGGGCAGAGGGGGAATTTGAAGCGTATGTTAGCCTTCTTGGAGCTCTTGTGAATTCTCTCGGGTTTGTTGGAGGCACATTCGCTGAAATCATCTTGGATCGTTTTGGGGTCTCAAATCCTAGGCGAGGAGATCCGGGAACAAGTGAAGAAATTCCGTAACCTTGGAAAAGTGGCTAATTAAGGAAGAGGGCGAGGAGGAGAAAGGCGACAGAGAGGGGAAGGCATACCAAAAGAGTAAGACAGTGGATCACGCAAGTCGCCAGTCCGAGAGGCCGAATGCGAGGTAGACCTGGCCAGCACGGGGACTGCAAACGCTTGCCCGCTCAAAGGCGCGAGCGAGCACCGGCGTGTACTCTCGGGGACTTCTTGGGGCTGTGTCTGGGTCTGCTTGTGGCACTATTGGGCTCTCTGGGGGCCCGCTTGGGGCCTCTTCGGGACATCTCGGGGCCATCCTGGGGTCCCTGAATATGGGAGCCGCCCAGGAGGAAATTTGGGCAACCTTGGAACGATCTTGGGCCTTCCTGGGGCCATACTGGCGCCGTCTTGGATGTGCTGCTGATCCATGTTGGGCGGTGCTGATCCCTCTTTGGAGGCCATGTTGTTTGCGTGTCCTGCTTCTAACATAGCATCAAAACATCGGTTGTCGCGCTCCCGTAAGGTCTTACGGCCCTGGCGCGCAAGAACTGAGCTGCCTACAACTCGCGTTGAAGTCGCTTCTTCGGCGGCAGACCGTGAAAACGGGATCACCCCCATCAGCGCCTCGATTCTCGTCATCAGTTCATGGAAGTCCAATGACCCATCAGCGTGTTTTGAGCCCTCCACTAGACTCATGTACTGCTCCCTTGATGAAATGCAATCGTCTTCTACTATCAAGGGCTTGCCCCGAACAACACCAGCGAAATCATCTCCGACGGCCTTCCGGTAACCATGGTGCGATTCATGCAACTGCAGCGTGTCCCAATGATGCTGACCATCTTTAAGGATGGTGCTAGTTTGAAATATCAGCGAGGCAGTGAGCTCACAATGATTTGAAGCACATTGAATTATCGGCCACCCATCCATCATGCATGCACGAAGGGCCTTATGGATGTCCAGGCCACCTCGTCCAACTACTTCATCAGGGAGAACATCAAAATTTGAGACCATGCACATGCCCTCTCCATACATCTCCTCTCGAGTGCTCTCGACGCGATTCCATATCCGGCCGAAGAGCGCCTCAGCCTCGTACGCCAAAAGATTGACCGGCGGCCCCCCAACATTCCTCCGGCACTTCGCGTGCTTGTGGGTGACGATGACGACAGCATTCGGAAATGCGCATTGGTTAACGAGGCGAAAAACGATACCAGCATACATGATGGGATGTCCGCAAACATTTCGTCTTGCATCGGCGCACGACCCCCCCTCCTCACACCCCATCCATGGCGCGCGAAGCGTGCCACGGGGGTGTCTGCTGGGGGGGGCAAGCGACGACATCATGAGAAATTCGCGCGTACTTCTGAAAACGTATGCTTATGCCGCTTTTAGGCCTCTGGCATTGGAGGCACTGCATCAGAAGCGACTGCATCTGAGAGACGGGCACTGCCATCTGCTGTCCGCGTGTGCGAGGGTCGGGTGTATACGCTGGGTGGAAGCCGTGCACAACCACCAACAAGCGGCCATTCTCGTACCCTTCTCCGAACAGTGCCTCGGCAACTCCATCCCTGGCGAACACGGGGGAGGAGAAAGGGTCGTAAGCGTTGACGCCAGCTGCGTAAGCGACGCCATGATCGGAGAGGAGACGAAACGTCTGAGCGTTCTCCGCCATGCGACTGTAGACGTCATCAAGATCCGTTGCCAAAAAGCGGCTAGGCCGAAAGGGTTCGACGAGTAGGAGACCCTCGTTGGCACTCGTTGCGCAAGCCAATTAAACCCTCCAAAGAGCCTCCTCATCTCGCTCCTTCTTTCTCCTGTTCCTCCAATTCCAAGCCGAATGTCTCTAACATGTTTCCTTCTCATCTTTGATCCGTCCTGACGAACGATTGTCCTCAGCACAACGAAAGCGTGTAGGTAGGGCGGTCTGGGCGTTGTGCCTGAGATACCCTCACGATCGATTGTCTAACGGGTGCACGGATGTAAGACACCGTGACTTAAAACTCACACCTGCGCCTGAAGCACGCCAGAAGTCTCCAATAGCTTCACGGATGGAGGGCAGACTGCTTTCAACAACTCGGACTTTGGTCTGCTCGCTGCGCTGTGTGATCATACAGCTTGCACCTTCCAACCACTACGAAAATGGAGAACATGTGGCGTTCGCGGCGAGCTCCAGCTTCACACTGGCTGACACATCGCAGCCGTGAAGCGTGACACAGCAAACGAATGCATGCATGTATGGATGGCACATGGCTTTCCTATCGCGATTTGGCAATGCTTCGGGCTCAAATCGAATCGGTGCCCAACTATCATGTGTAAGGCTTGTTTTAAGAACAACGCAATGTTGTTCTTTCTAATTCACACCTTCATTCCCGTCCTCCTCTCCCTCCAAATCTAAGGCTCTCAGCATGCGTGGTCGCTGACGGCCATACAAGTGTCGCCACGCTGCTGCGCCCCTGGGAGGTCCAGCGGCGTGACGTTCCGCGCATATCACATCAAGACCTCGCCCTTCAGGACCTGCAACTGCGCCAGGGCTTCAGGAGAATTCTACATTTCCAGCGCCGTTGATGATGAGGAGCACTTGCGCTGACGTTTGAACGGAGTGGTGGTGGGTGGTACGCGATGGTGTAACGCAGCATTAGCGCTAAATGCTTGTATGGCTCTCGCCTCTTCCCTCTCCACATTCACAATACCTTGCCGTGTTCTCATTTCCCCTCCCATCCCCCGTTCCCCCCATCGCTGCCCCTCCCTTCTCCTCTACTCCTCCCCGCTCTTCTCTCGTCCTCCCTTCTCCCCTTCCTACTCCTCCTCCCTCCCTCCTCCACGAGAGGAGGATGTCTCCCTCCTCTCGTCTCTCGCCCCATGGCCATCATGTCTATGTGAGTGATAACACCGACGAGGTGCGCTGTTCCCTATGTTGTGGGGGGATGCGCCCGTTCCGCACTCCAGCACTTGTGTAACGGCCCGTCCAAGTCCTGCCCGCCACCGCCCTCTCGGCCTTTCAGGGCCAAGCATGGCTTCGGGCGGGTGGCGAATCAGTGCGGCCGTTGAGGGCTGGTGTCGTGGTGGAGGCTGAGCAGGCCCTTGAATCTGGCGGCTTGCAAGACCCCCCGCCTGGCGATGGTGTGGCAACATTTCGTGAATGTGAAGACCGTGGCCATGCCATGCTGAGATTTGGCCGCGCCTGCGTCTGCTCCAAATATTCGGGCGTCCTCGTCTTGCCCCATTGGGGTCCCGCGTGCCCTCCAGGACCAATGTCGTGGCCCCATCCAGGGTGTCCCGTCCACCAGGGAGAAGCAGGCCTCAGGACGCTGAACAAGGCCGCGCGGGGCCTCCACCCCACGTCGGGTGAGGTCCTAGACGGCGGTGTTGGGTGATCGCTTTGAAGAGACAGTCCCCGTATCCCCCCCTATCCTCTCCTCCTCCTCCCACTCCTCCCTCCTCCCACCCTTGCCTCTGCCCTCCGCATGCCAGACAGTTCAGCGCCCCACCCCTCACACGTTTCGTGGCCCCATAGGGAGCTCCACCTCAGGCGTCGATGGCTGCGTTCGCGTGCCGCCGCCCACCTCAAATTGGCACCCCCTTCACACGCTTCGTGGCCCCATTGGGAGCTCCTCCGAAGGCGCAAGTGGCTGCGCATGCCGCCACCTACCTCACTCAGACAACTTCTCACACCTTTCGTGGCCCCATATGGAGCCCCACCGACAACCCCGAGGGCTGCCGAAGGCTGCGTTCGCATGCCGCCGCCCCCCTCACTTTGGCACACCCTTCACACGTTCCGTGGCCCCACAAGGAACTCCACCGAAGGCCCGAGCGGCTGCGTTCGTATGCCGCGCCCGCATGTCTTCTCCCGCTTCTCCAGGTGCCTGTCAGCCGCAACGGGCTACGTCAGCATGTAACTCGTTTCGTCTGACCTTCGCGCCCCCCTGCGGGCGGCCCCAGCGGTAGCGACCGCATGGCGGCCACGCCTCAGTTCGGCGCTCCCTTCACGCGATTCGTGGCCCCACAGGGAGCTCCACCGAAGGCGTTTATTCACAACGGCAGCACTCACAACTGCATAAGGTTGGGTTCGTCGCCAGGATAATTTTCCTGGCGGTGGTGCTGGCCTTTCCTGAGGGCATGCTCACTCGTGTAGCCTGATGGCGTTCGTTACCCTGCGGAAGCTATCCAGTCGGCACCCACCACCCCAATCCTACCCTTGCCCTCTTCCCCCTCAAGGGCGGGGCTGGGCGGGCGGGATCGGAAAGGGCGTAGCGTGCCCAAGCCTCGGAGGAGGCCGCCATGACCGCGCTGGAAGCCTGCCGAACCCGTTCGACAACTGTTCCTGGCTCCGTCGTGTGCTGTAGAGGCAATACATGCTGACACTGTCAGTGCCGACAGTCCTCCTCGTGCGGGAGCTGGGTGACGACGGGCAGCTTCGAAAGCGCGTTCACGGAGCAGGACGTCGTCATCGATGTCGTTGGACCTGGTATGGCAGGCCACGTGACAGAGGCGACGGAACATCGGCGGCGAACAATCCACCTCCGCCGAGCGCAGCAGCAAATGAACAAGGACAGGACCTTGGGGGGCTACCCGTCTGCCTGCTAGGACACAAAAGCATCATCGCCACCACGGCACCAAACAAAAATGCATCGGCATGGAACATCGTCAGCCCAAGCATCACGAGCCGGGTTGTGTGAGTGGTGTCAGGCGACGGCGGAACTTCCCTGGAGGCGGCATTCACATCCATCAAAGCCTAGCTGGCGGCAAACGCCGTCGGATGCGAGAGCTGCAACAATCACCAGCTTCAACGGGGACCTCCGCTACGGCGTGGAGGGCGCCACTGCTCCTGGGGCTCCTAAAGGTGCCGGCCAGGATGGCGCTGCGTTGGGCTTCGACGACGGCGTGCCGAGCATCCAAAACCACCGTGCTCACGGGTGGTGGACGCGCTGGTGCTCAAATGGGCCGCAGAGAGCCAACTCTCGGGGTTGCCGACGCTAGTGTCGACTGGACCGCGAGCAGCCAAAGCACCGGGCTCTAGCAAGAAATTATCCAACACGTAGTGGACACCAGGAAGAAATACGGCTTCATTGGGGTCTCAGGCGGAACCAAGGACCTTCTTCCGCAATATTGTTGACGAAGGCGTGGACTCCATCAACGTCGGCTCGAAAGTGTTTGATACTGAATGGGACGGCCGCAAGGGTAAGTACAAGGCTGCGCACGTGAAGGGGGCTGGCGTGGACACTCGTTCTCCATCAGGCGCCGAGTCCCACCACTATCTGGGCGCCGCTGCTGGTGCAAGCGGGCTGATGCACCTGAAGGACATGAAGATCTCCTGCAGGATGCTCTCGGCAGGGAGCGGGCCATTCGGTCTGCAGATCCCATATGACGGAGCAACAACTTCAAAAAGGCATGACTTCATTTTTCGGGGAAGACAGCGACGCAGGTTGGGAGAAGGCGAAGATCTTCATGTGCTCGACTGAGCTGTTCAAGAAGGTCTTCACGCTGTGATTCTCGGGGAGGACGCTTTTTTTGAGCGGCCTTGTGAGTCCTCTGGAGCTGGGGAGGGTCCGCCCCTCGTTCGCGGGATGCGAGAACGATTTCTTCAATATCTGTTTCAACTGATTAACCTCCTGCCTCGTCTAACTCCGCCTCCTCCTCCTCCTCCCTCCTCCTTCTCCTTCTCCTCCTCCTTCTCCTCCTCCTCCTCCTCCTCCTTCCTCCTGCTCCTCATCCCTCCCTCCCTCCCTCCCTCCCTCCCTCCCTCGCTCCCTCCCTCCCTCCCTCCCTCCCTCCTCCTCCTCCTCCTCCTCCTCCCCCTCCTCCTCCTCCTCCTCCTCCTCCTCCTCCTCCCACTCATTCTCCACATCACTCCCGCCCTTCGTCCTGCTACTCTTCTTCGTTTTCCTCTCCCACACTTCTCACGCCTCCCCCTCCCTTCTTCCAACTCATCCACATCATCATCCCTCGTTCCCTGTCTTCCTCCGCCTCTTTTCCTCTGCCCAAATCGTTCCTCGCTCCAGGACTTCATCAACCACGTCCCCGTCCAACACCACCCCTTGCCGCGGGACATCATACCCGATGAGATGTCCGCCCCTCTTCGAACCAAAAGAGTCGCAAACAAGCCCCATCGGAAAATAAACTGGCACGCTTATCTCTGGAATGCCTCCCCTGCCACATCTCCTTCCTTCCCCCTCACTCCCCCATCACTTTTTCTTACAATCAACTCCCCCCTTTTCGCACCACCAGACATGTTGGTATGGCGGGCTGAGCGTTTCGCCTGAGACTTCTTCACCACGTCTGATCCTGAGGCTTGAAATGTGTCATGTGTTTCGGGATGGGGGGGGCGGGTCGTTGTCAGAATTTGGCTCTAGCCTTAGCGCCGCGTGCATTCGTTTCAAACGTTCGCAACCTGTTCAAGGATGGAGGGCGGGCTGTTTTCAACACGTGGCTCTCGCCTTAACACCGCGCCCATTCGTCTTGAAAATGTGCAACCGCTCGTTTTCAAAATGTTACTCCCGCCTCAACCACACGCACTTGCGCCTTGAACGTGTACAGCAGTTTCAAAGATTCGTATGGCTGAAGGCCCAGGAGTGATGTTCTGGCAGGGTTTAGGACTGTCGGGACGCAGAGTAATGTTGACTCGCGCAGTGTTGTGGTACGATGTACGACTTGCAAGTCCCAACAGCTGTGTTTTGACCAAGTTCGGGATTCTCAGACGCTTGTCTTCCAATGGGGCAGTCCCCGCAAAGAAGCAACATATTGTAGGGACCTGTAAAGAGGGAATTTTGAGGGTGGCTGTATTGCAATATCGTTGATGCGCCTTGAATGTCACTGGTATTCCACCTTCTCCCCCTCGTCCGCAACCGCTTCGCCCTCGTCTCTTGTCCCTCCTACTCATTCTCCCTCCTCCTGCTGCTCCTCCTCCTCCTGCTCAGCCTTCTCCTACTCATTCCCATCTGGCTCCCCTCCCCCCCTCTGCTGCTGTCTTTCTCATATGTTCTCCTTCTCCTCCCCCCTCCTCCATTCTCTCCTCCCTCCTCCCTCACACCTCCTATGGCCCACTCCCCGCTCTGGTCCCGCAACGAGGGTCTCCCACATGGAGCGGACTTCCCGCATGTGAACGAAGAGAACGGGAAGTTCGTCCGATCGGCAATGAAACACACGCCCGTCGTCAGAAGCTGGCAGCTACACACCATTGCCAGCCCCAGCCAGGCTCATCCTAAGCCTTCCACTGGCGCGCGCAAGATCTATACACGCCGTTCGGAGACTGGTAGAAACATGAAATATGAAGACGGAATGCGGATGTAATGCGGCTGGAATAGAACGTAGCCGGCAGCGGGTGACCTGGCATGTCGAAGCGTGGTAGAATGCCAAGTGCTGTCTGGTGGAGTCTCGACAAGTCTTCTGAGACCCCCCCTCTCCCCCAACGAAATAGTGCGTGCACCGGGGCTCTCTCCAGAGGCTCCCTGGGCGGCACGACGCTTCCGGCCCAATCCCCAAGACTGCCCAAGATGGTCAAAAGGGACCCCCAAGCCTATCCGACAGAAACAGAAGACAGCCCAAGATGACCCAAGTAGTCCTCATGGGGGATTCTCAAAAGTGCAGGCGGCGCCCAGATGTGCCACATTTGACGACCCTTTGGGCAGTGCTCAAGTGATCGCCACACAGAGTGCTTCGCTGGCACGGTGGCCGCAGGCACCTAGATGTTTGGATCTGGAAGTCCCAAACGACCTACTTTGGTCGGACGACGTGTGCACCCATTGAAGACCCATGATGGACGTGACCAGGGCTGGCGTTGGTGTATAGTTCGATGCGGTGTATCCGTCGTCGGCCCAATACTGGCAATCGGCGATGTTCTGCACATCCAAGTCATCGAGACTGGCAACAAGGTCGCCGATTCCATCTCGCAGACACTCGGAAAGACTGGCCAAATAGACTACCGTGTCGTAGAGCGCCTCTTTCGTAATGGTATTGGCATCGATGAAACTCAATATTTCTCCTCGAAGAGCCGCGAGGACGGGGTGAGGGATGACTCCTTCGCCGGCATCCGACACCGCTCGCCTTACCATCAACTCGTTGGCAGCATTCGTGCACACCCAGACGTTCACGTCAGCAGTGAGAACAACGTATCTCTGACAACACATATCCCCGCTAGAGTGCAAGACATCGAGCGAAGCGGTGGTGCACGGATCGAGTGGGGCCAAGCAAACTTGAGACGAACTGGCCAACTGCAGGAAAGATAGGGCACACAGACGCTGTTACAGCCACATCCCCGCGTCCTCTCCCCGCCGTTTTCCGTCCTCCTCTCCCGCCTCCTCCTCCCCGTCCTCCTCCTCCTCCTCCTCCTCCTCCTCCCGCTTCTCTTCTACCCCACATACTAAGAATGGGGGTCTTGGCATTACTCCGACCACGCCGAACACGCACGCACGAACACCCACCTCCTCCCTCCTCTTCCTGACGAGACAAAAAGGATGGAGGTGATGCGGATGCGGATGATGAGTACAATGACGACGATGGCGATGGCGATGGCGATGGCGATGGCGATGGCGATGATGATGATGATGATGATGATGATGATGATGATGATGATGATGATGATGATGATGATGATGATGATGATGATGATGATGAGGGTGACGAGCGGCTTGCCTGCTTAACAGCCCAACATCCTCTGCTCGTGGCGCCGATGTTGAGGATATCTCGGGCGGACCGCTGGCGCTCGCACCCCAGAAGGGGCGATTGTCAGATTGCGAGGATGCCTGTAGCGGTTTGCCTGTTTGGGTGGCCAGGTTCGCCTGCGTTCAGGTCGAGTCTTTGGTGCTTTACGCATGTCCCTATAGCTTGCCCCTCCCTTGTGGGCAAATGTCCATATGTGGGCTTCCCGTAATTCGCAGAATTACGGGAAGCCCGTAGATGGACAACTGCCGCCTGCGAACTATGGAAACCCCATCGGCCGCCTGAAACCCCTGGGGAATCTGGCGGCCGATGGGTGTCCCATAAATCCTGCGAGTTGAGGGAAACACATCGGCCGCCAGAAACCCCTTGGGAATCTGGTGGCCGATGGGTTTCCCATAATTCAGAATTACGGGAAGCCCATCGATGGACAACTGCCGCCTGCGAATTATGGGAAACACATCGGCCGCCAGAACCCCCTACGGAATATGGCGGCCTATGGGTCTCCCATACTTCGGAATAACAGAAGGCCGCAGTTGGACGACTGCCGCCTGCGAATTATGGGAAACCCATAATGTCAAAATCCGCCGACCCTGTCGGCGTGTGGAAGACGCATCCCGGTGTCGTCGTCTTGCGTGGATCACCGTCGTCTTCGTCGTCGCCCGAAATAAAAGGAAATCGAACACGAAACAACAGGAAATCGTAGTCGTGGCGAAGCCCCTCCCTACCCCCCCCCCGACCGGGGGGGGGAGGGGGGGGGCAGATACGCATCCCCCCAGGCGACCCTCTCCCTCCGGCCCCTCCCCCCCTCCTCCTCCTCCTCCTTCCTCCTCCTCTCCTCCTCCTCCTCCTCCTCCTCCTCCTCCTCCTCCTCCTCCTCCTCCTCCTCCTCCTCCTCCTCCTCCTCTCCTCCTCCTCCTCTCCTCCTCCTCCTTTTCCTCCTCTCCTCCTCCTCCTTCCCCCTCCTCCCCTCCTCCCCCCTCCCCCCTCCTCCTCCTTTTCCTCCTCCTCCTGTTCCTCCTCCTCCTTCTCCTCCTCCTCCTCCTCCTCCTCCTCCTCCTCCTCCCCTTCCTCCTCCTCCTCCTTCTCCTCCTCCTCCTCCTCCGCCTCCTCCTCCGGCACGTCTTCATTTACCTCCGACGTCTTATCACGCATCCCGTCACCCTCGAGGGCCGAGGTATCCAGGGGCGGCGGCACTGGCCGTAAGGCCTTAGCAATATTCCCTAGGGGCTTCTGGCGACCGATGGGTTTCCCATAACTCGCCCATGCCAGCGGCCCCGCTGAATTTCAAAAGATTCCGGACGCCGCGCAATGACGGGACGTTCGCATTCGAATTCGCTGGCGCAATGGGGCCACAGATCGAGATCCTGAATTGTCGGACACCCATAGGTCGCCAGAAAACCCTAGGGAATCTGGCGGCCGATGGGTGCCCCATCATTAGCAGTGGCGAGCTGGGTCCAGATCCCGAATTATGGGAAATCCATAGGCCGCCAGAAACCCCTAGGGAATCTGGCGGCCGATGGGTTCCCCAGAATTCGCGGCGGCGGGCGGGGTCCAGATCCCGAATCATGGGGAAGCTATAGGCCGCCAGAAAACCTTAGGGAATCTGGCGGCCGATCTGCTTCCCATAATTCGCGGCGGCGAGCGGGGTCCAGATCCCGAATTAGGGGAAACCCATCGGCCGCCAGAAACCCCTAGGGAATCTGGCGGCCGATGGGTTCCCCATAATTCGCGGCGGCGAGCGGGGTCCAGATCCCGAATTATGGGAAAGCAATAGGCCGACAGAAAACCCTAGGGAATCTGGCGGCCGATGGGTTCGCCATGACTCCGAATTAAGGGAAACCCATAGGCCGCCATGTTCTCGAGAGAATCTGGCGGCCGCTTTATTTCCCATAATTCGCGGCGGCGAGCGGGGCCCAGATCCCGAATTCTGGGAAACCCATCGGCCGCCTGAAACCCATAGGGCATCTGGCGGCCGATGGGTTCCCCATGACTCGCGAAGACAATTCTGGGAAACCCATAGGTCGCCAGATTCCCTAAGGAATCTGGCGACCTGTGATTTCCCATATTTCGCGGCGGCGAGCGGAGCCTCGATTCCGAATTATGGGAACACACGTAGGCCGCCAGAACCCCCTAGGCAATCTGGCGGCCGATGGGTTCCCCATAGCTGGCGGAGGCAATTCTGGAAAGCCCATGGTTCGCCAGATTCCCTCGGGAATCCGGCGTATGGGTTTCCCATAATTCGCGGCGGCGAGCGGGGTCCAGGTCCTGAAATATGGGAACACACGTAGGCCGCCAGAACCCCCCAGGGACCTGGATGCCGATTGGTTTCCATCATTCGCGTTTGCAATTCTGGGAAATCCATGAATCGCCAGATTCCCAGATCCCCTACGGAACCTGGCGACCTATGGGTTTCCCATAATTCGCGGCGGCGAGCGGGGTCCAAACCCCGAAGCCATTGGCCGCCAGAAACACCTAGGGAATCTTGCGGCCGATGAGTGTCCCACCATTGTCGGCGGCGAGCGGGGTCCAGATCCCGAAGTATGGGAAAGCCATAGGCCGCCAGGAACCTCTAGGGAATCTGGCGGCCGATGGGTTTCCCAGAAATTCGCGGCGGCGAGCGGGGTCCAGATCCATAATTTTGGAAAACCAACCGGCGGCCAGAAACCCGTAGGGAATCTGGCGGCCGATGGGTTCACCAGAATCGTCGGCGGCAAGCGGGGTCCAGATCCCGAATCATGGGAAACCCATAGGCTGCCAGACACCCCTAGGGAATCTGTCGGCCGAATGGTTTCCCAAAATTCGCCAACGCCAGCGGCCCCGTAGAATTTCACTGAATCCTGGACGCCGCGCAAGTATGGGACATTCGGATTCGAATTCGCTCGCGCATTGGGGCCGCCGAGCGGGAAACCCATGGGTCGCCAGATTCCCGAGGGAATCTGGCGGCCGGCTGGTTTCCCATAATTCGTGGCCGATGGGTTTCCCATAACTCGCGGGGACAATTCTGGGGAACCCATAGGTCGCGAGATTCCCCCGAGTGAATCTGGTGACCTATGAGTTTCCCACAAATTCGCTTCGGCGAGCGGGGTCCAGATCCCGAATCATGGGAAACCCATAGGCCGCCAGAAACCCATAATTCGCGGGGACAACTCTGAGAAACCCATAGGTCGCCAGGTTCACTCGGGAGTATGGCGACCTATGTGTTTCCCATAATTCGCGGCGGCGAGCGGGGTCAAGATCCCGAAGTATTGGAAACCCACAGGCCGCCACAAACCCCTAGGGAATCTGGCAGCCGATAGATTTCCCATAATTCGCGGGGGCAATTCTGGGAAACCCATAGGTCGCCAGACTCCCTAAGGAATCTGGAACCTGGCGACCTATGTGCTTCCCAAAATCGCGGCGGCGAGCGGGGTCCAGATCATGAATTATTGGGAACACATGGGCCGCCAGAACCTCCAAAGGAATATGGCCGTAATTCGCGGAGAACAGTCTGGGAAACCCATAGGTCACTAGATTCCCTAGGGAATCGGGCGACCCATGGGTTTCCCATAATTGTCGGCGGCAAGCGGCGGGGTCCAGATCACGAATCATGGGAAACCCATAGGCCGCCAGAAACTCTTAGGAAAAATGACGGCCGATGGGTTTTCCATAATTCGCAATTCTGGGGAAACCCATCGGTCGCCCGATTCCCTGGGGAATCTGGCGGCCCATGTGTTGTTTCCCATACTTCGCGGCGGCGAGCGGGGTCCAGATCCCGAGTTATGGGACACCCATAGGCCGCCAAAAACCCTAACGAATCTTGCGGCTGATGGGCGCCCCGTAACTCACGGCGGCGAGCGGGGTCCAGATCACAAACTATGGCAAACCCATCGGCCGCCAGAACCCCCTGGGACATCTGGCGACCTATGGATGTCCCATAATTCGCTGCGGCGAGCGGCGTCCAGATCCCGAATTATGAAACACCCATAAGCCGTCAGAAACCCATAGGGAATCTGGATGCCGATTGGTTTCCCATAACTCGCGGGGACAATTCTGGGACACCCATGGGTCGCCATATTCCCTATGTAATCGGGCGACCTATGGGCTTCCCATGATTAGTGGCGGCGAGCGGGATCCAAACCCCGAATTATGGGACACCCATAGGCCGTCAGAAACCCACAGGGAATCTGGATGCCGATGGGTTTCCCATACTTCGGCGGAGACAAACCTGGGAAACTCATATGCCGCCAGATTCTCTTGCTTGTGTTTGAGAGTGGGGGTCGCGGGACTCCCATACTTCGCATTTAGAGCTTACCAAATTATTGGAAGCCTATAGACGGACAACAGTCCCCCCGTGGGTCCAACCCTAAGCGTGTTACATATATTACGATAGGTTGGGCCTTTCCAAGGGCACGAATCCTTTGTGGCTTACGTCGGCTACTATAGTTTGCCCCTCCCCTGCGGCGCCAATCCTGAATGTTACGTGCGCTCCTGTAGGCTCCCCCCCAAGGCACGAACGGCCCCCCAAAAGGCTCCATGAAGCTCCAGGAAGCCCCGGGCGGCACGAGGAGGCACCGGGAGGTCCCAGGAGACCCAACAGGGAGGGCACCCCCGAAATCCTCGTCGACCGTGGTTCATTATCAAGGAATGATAACCCAAGTTTATGATCTTGAGATGATACCCCATGGATTACTGTTCTGTGGATGGATCGAGCTCGCCCCCCCGGATGAATCATGATCTTTCCGGACTGATCAACCTAATAGTATTCTTCCAACATTAAGGACCAGGGTTGATCTCAGTGCGGAGCGTACTCTCCAGCAACGTTCCCCCGGCCGAATCATTATCATTCCAGAATAATTCAACCAAGGTCAACATTCTGGGAACACTATAAGCCCAAATTTATTATCTTCTGGAGATCATGAGCCGGAAACAATATTCCGACATGACAAACCCGGAGAAACACCCGGGGGTTGGGGGGAAAAATAATAATTATTAGCACTCCGGATTTACATAGACCGGGCTCATCATTCCCAAGATATTATGAACACCAATCAATATTCCCGGAACATTGCAAACCCTGGTTAATATGTTTTTTTGTGTCAATACCCCCAGAAAGATATAAACCAGGGTTTGTAATGTTCTGGGGAGAACATTATGAACCCCAGTCAATATTCCCAGAACGTGAAAACCCAGATTCATAGTGTTCCGGGAGAGACATTATGAACCCGATTCAATAATCCCAGAACGTTAGAAACCCAAGTTAATATCTTTTTGGGGTTCGTCCTGCCAACAGGGGCCCAGGAGGTCCCAGGAGGCCTCAAGCTCCGCGAGGCTCCACACAGGAAGCAACAGAAGGCCCTATGTTGCGAGGCCACAGGAGTGGTTCCCATGCAAATTGGTTTACGCATGTTCCTCTATATGTGTGTATATGTATGTGGCTTCTTCTGGGGCACGAATCCTTAATGCCGGAAGGCTCGTCCATATATTGTCTTTCTCCTTTAGCCTCAATCCTGTGCGTGTGCGTGTGCGTGTGTGTGTGTGTATGTGTGTGTGTGTGTGTGTTTGCCCCTCTCCTGTGGCTCGAATCCGACGTGTTTTACGAGTGTGCCTATAGATCGGGCATTTCCCCTCCATGGCGTGGATGGATGTATCACGGTCCAGCCACTGCGTGAAATCGTCTGGACCAGCCTACGAAGCGCAAAGGCTTCACACGGCGCTTGCATGAGCGCACATATTCCTTGCTTCAGCATGGATGAAGGGATGGGTCAACCACTTCGATTCAGTCTCGCTCTGTTATGCTCATGCCACTGACTTGCAAACAAACCCATCCGAAACTTAGACATACTCGGACGCATGGGCATACACCCACTCGTGCTGCTGAGACTCATTCACGCTCCAACTCATTCACACTTAGGTTCACTCCCAAACTGTCATTACTTCAGCTCGTTTGTATTCGAAAGCTATTGCGCACGCGGGCGCACGCGGCGGACAGGTCCATGCAAATAGATACACGTCTGGGGCCTCCACGCGGTGAATAAGTTTGTCCCAATCACCCTGTAGTGGTGGGTCCTCGTTTTGAAGAGGCAACGCCCTGCGTTGTTTCCTCCTCATCCCGCTGCCCCATCCCCCCTCATTCCTCCTCCCATCCCTGCCGCTGCCCTCAGCATGCCCGTGTTCCGACACCCAATGGAACGCTTCGTGGTCCCGAATGGATGTCCACCGAAAGCACCAACGGCATGGCCCACATGGCGCCGCCGCCCCATTTTGGCGCACACCCCACACGGTTCGTAGCCTTATATGGGGTTCCACCGAAGGCCCCAGTGGCAGGGTCCACAGAGGCGCCGCCACATTTCGGCGCGCCTCTCCCACGGCTCGTGGCCCCATAGGGAGCTCCACCGAAGGCCCAAGTTGCAAGGTCCACATGGCAACGCAACCCCATGTTGGCGCACCCCTCACACGGCTTGTGGCCCCACAAGGAGCTCCACAGAAGGCCCCAAGGGCAAGGCCAACATGCCGACGCCGTTCTATTCTGGCGCACCCCTCACACGGCTCGAGGCCCCGTAGGAAGCTCCAGCACAGGCATCAGTGGCAAGGTCAGCATGGCGGCGCCGCTCCATTTTAGCACACCCCTCGCACGGTTCGTGGCCCCATAGGGAGATCAGCCGAAGACCTCATGGGCATGGCCCACATGTCGTCGCAACCCCAATATGGCGCAACTCTCGCCCGGCACGTGGCCCCATAGGGAGCTCAACCGAAAGGCCCCAGTGGCAGGGTCCACGTGACGGCGCAGCTCCATTTTGGCGCACCCCTCAAACAGTTTGGCGCCACATTTTGGCGCACCTCTCACACGATTCGCGGCCCCACAAGGAGCTCCACCGAAGGCCCCAGTAGCAGGGCCCACATGCCGACGCCGCTCCATGTTGGCGCACCTCTCAAACCGTTCGTGGCCCCATGTGAAGCATGGCGGCGCCGCTCCATTTTAGCACACCCCATCGCACGCTTCGTGGCCCCATGGGGAGATCAGCCGAAGGCCTCAGTGGCAAGGTCCACATGGCGGCGCAACCCCATTATGGCGCACCTCTCATACGGCTCGTGGCCACATAGGGAGCCCCACCGAAAGGCCACAGTGGCAGGGTCCACATGGCGGCGCCGCTCCATTTTGGCGCACGCCTCACACGGTTCGTGGCCCAACAGCAAGCTCCACCGAAGGCCCCAGCATACGCTTGGGTCCTTCGCCTGGAGAATTGTCAAAACGCAACAGGCAAACTGAGCCCCTGAAGCTGAAGCATAGCGCACCTGAAGCGTCCTTCTACGTGCTGGGATCGAGCGCTGCTTAGCCCCCCTCCCCCCCCCCCCCCCCACACACCACACACACACACACACACACACACACACACACACACACACACACACACACACACACACACACACACAACACACACACACACACACACACACACACACACACACACACACACACACACACACACACACACACACACACACACACACACACACACACACACACACACACACACACACACACACACACACACACACACACACACACACACACACACACACACACACACACACACACACACACACACACACACACACACACACACACAACCGGGACTCTGGCGGGGTGCACTCGAATGAGCCCGTCCTGCCTTCCCTCCTCCCGCCCCCTTCCACTCTTCAAACTCCCTCCCTTCTCGCCCCTTCAATCTCCCTCCCCTCCATCCCCGTCCCCTTTAACTCCCCCCTACCGCACACCTCCTCCCCATTTGCGTCCCGCCCTTTTCAGTACCTCCTGCCCCATGGAGTGAAAGGAGGGAGGAGAGAGGGAGGAAGGGAGAGAGTAGGGAGAACGTGGAACGCAACGGGGGGGAAGGAGTAACGGCTCCAGGCGGGCGATTGCCTAGATCGCATCGACCTCATTATCGGGCCCATCCGACGGCCGAGCGGGGTCCCACCTCCGCTCTGGGCGCGGGCAAACACTTGCGCTGTGGGTGCCAGCTCTTCCGAAGGCGCCTGCTCAGCCCTCCTCCCCTCACGTGGCGCGGGGGGGGGGGGGGGCGGCTTTCTGAGGAGGCAGGGAGCTGCGTGGAAGCTGGCCTGGCTTCCAAAAAGCCTTCTGCGAAGGCCCTTGGCCCTTGCCTTTTCAGCCCGCCTTCCCAGAAGGCGGACCCTCTCGCCCCCCCACATCCGCGCCGCCAATGCACCCATCTGTCTGTGGATCTGGGGCTCCCCCGTCGCGATGCGTTGGGGCGTCCAGGGTGGCCAAAGAGGGTCCCAAGATACCAGTAGCACGGCCAACGCAAGTTTGCCCAGATGCCGCCCCCACGGATAACTTTCTGAGGCCCCATATGGCTCGCAGGTGCCCCCACCCGACCTCTCAAGAATCCCCTGGAGAGGCCACAATCACTGAAACGTCAAACGATATTCAATGAGCTTCTCTCTCTCTCTCTCTCTCCCTCTCTCTCGCCTTTTCGGAAACTGATGCCTCAATACGGCCCCAGACCGGTCGAGGAGTGTCCTGGGACGGACCTAAAAGGCCCCCAAGAGAGCGACAACACCCTGAAGAGGGAGTCTCAAGATGGCCCTTCGCGTCGGTTGCAACAAGTACACAGGAGCATGAAGTAGGAAGGAGTTGCAGTGGATTGGGTTTGGGCATGCCCCCCAACTCCGAGCAAGTAAGGCCCCAAGCTGGCCAAATTCGGGGGCTGGTTTGCTAATCCCTCTTACCGTGTGAACAACAACCTCCGCCTCTTTCTGTGTCGGCAATGCTCGTCTGCCGCCCCTCCCAAGACAATCCCGTCAGGGATTCGCGTCTCATTGCGCAACTTAGCGCTTGCGAAATGTCATGGAGTATAGAGTGGAGCCCGTCCGACTGCCCACCCGGCGGCCCAAGGGGCTCAGACGCCACAGCTCCTGCCCCCCTGGTGCCGCTGCTGAATAAGCGCCGCAACCCACTGCAACGACGCCGGGGCACTCCGACAAGGAGGGTGAGGTTTGGAGGGAGCAGGGGGAGGGAGGGATTGAGCAGGGGGGGGAAAGGACTAGCAAGAGGAGAAAGAAGGGGGATGAGGAGGGAAGGACGACGGGGAGGAGGGAGGATAGAGGAGGAGGAAGATGGAGGATGAGGGATGAAAGGGAAGATGGAGGATACAGGAGGAAGACGACACAAACGACGACGGCGACCCCAAACATCCCGTCTCCGACCTGAGCAGACCTTCGAAGGGAATCCACCCGTGGCGACGAGGGCGCTCCAGGATGCCCAGGGAAGGGCCCCCGAAACGCTCCCAAAAGCTCCAACCCCGAACACCGATCTCCGATCCCCGACGACGACAGGGACGGCGACGACCACGACGACGACGACGGCGACGACGACGACGAAAACGACGAAGACGAAAACGACGCGCGCCTGGCGGGGCTGCCCGTCACGGCCCGGGAGCTAAAGCCCCCGAGCGCCGACCAGGCGGCGCGGCTCAAGAACCCCCCGCCAAGCCGGCCCGCCGAATCGCCCAGGAAGGCGGCCGCGAGGAATAGGAAGAGCCCCTGGCGGGCCGGACGGAAGGCCGAACGGGTGGGGCGTTAGTGAGTCGGCTGCATGCAGCTGGCTGTCCCCTGCGCCTTTCTTGGCAAAGGGGTTTCTCCTCCCTCTCCCCTTATCCTCCCCGCTCGCCTCCATTTTCCTCTCCTGCTCCTCCTCCTCCTCCTCCTCCTGCTCTTCGCCGTCGTCCTCCTCCTCTTCCCCTAACTCCTCCTACTCAGCCCCCCCCTTCGCTTAGATTCACCGCCTTCGCGCTCCCGCGTGCGCAATGAAGTTCGAAGGAAAACCCCTGGGGAAGGTAGCGATGCGATGCGGAAGCGGCCACAGCGAATCTACATTTGTTTTTGAAAGGGCTCGGGGAATCTCTGGAGGCGGCAGCGGCGGCGAGAAAAAGGAACACCTCAAGGGCGGCGGCGGTGACCGAAGAAGAGAACCTGGCAGGGGGACCGGGGAGGATCAACGGGGGGAGGGTCCTGGGAGGGAGAAAGAGAAGAGTGGAGGAGGAGGACGAGGAGGAGGAGGAGGAGGGGAAGGAGGAGGAGGAGGAGGAGGAGGAGGAGGAGGAGGAGGAGGAGGAGGAGGAGGGGGAGGAGGAGGAGGAGGAGGAGGGGGGGACGAGAAGGAGGAGGCGGCGGCGGATCGACATCGGGTCGAAGGTCGAAGCTACGCAACGACTACCACATCGCGAAAAAAACATTGGGCGACGAACGACCCATCGTGCGCTATGTCTAGCGGTTTACAGAAGCGTCCCTCTCCCTAGGTGGGGACCCCGAATTGTCTGCGCTCGACCACGGGCCCAAACAAAACAGGACGAGCCCCCGAGGGCTCCATCAGAAGCGCGAAAACCAAAAACTGACAGGCTCGAAACTTCGCAGCGTAGGCTACGAGCTCTTTGAAGGAGGGGAACGAGCGAGACGAGGGGAGGCTCGGACGGGAGGGGATCGGAGCGGGGCGAGGAACCTGGTTGGCAGCGACGACGGAGCAGCCCCCCTTGGCCTCGCCAGCGGGCCCCCCTGTCCGCGACGAACTCTTTCCTCCAGGCTCCCCCCTTCTGCTACGAGCGTGCGAAATCCATCTCGAAGGCCCCGCCAACCATCCACGAGTCTGTGACATCCATCCTCGGGGCATCTGTGAGCCAGAGCAAGAAGCTGAAGTGCTCGGCAAGGGCCCTTCGAACGCGAAATATCCCGCGCCGGCCGCTGACCCCGCACAGGCCCAATCAAACTAGAACTGGTGCTGAAAGCTTGCTGCAATGACCTCTGAGCTGTCAGAAATGCGGTGCTCTGCCTTACCCCAGGTGTCGCATCCGTCATTGCTGGGACCTCGCTCGTCTCGCCCACCCGACTGGAGCGCTCTGACTGCTGTCTCGCAACTCGAGCTCGTCCAAGGCCAACTGCAACGCCCGCCCGTTGTGCGTGCGGGGTGCGATGCCTGCTTTGTATTCTCCCTTGTTGCTCCGCGCGCGCCAGGACACTTGTGTCACGTTGGGATCTCCGCGCGCACGCGCCAACTTGGCCTGGCCCTCCTTGAACGCGCTCGACACTCTGATCCCCCTGATCAGGATCGCCAGCTCGGACAGGTTGGAGATGCTGTCGATGGCGCTGCTAGATCTCGGCCAGAGCCTCGGCGTTCGTCGCGCCGACCGCGTCTCCTGCGTCCGACGCCCTCAGGGCCACCATCAGGTGCATCTGCGCGCGCAGGGCCCATGCGTTTCCCTGGCAGGGGGGTTGCTGGCGCCCCGCGCGCGGGCTTCCTGCCTCTTGGCCGCCTCTGCTGCGTAAGCCATGCCTGCCTGGAGCGCCGTCTTCGCTATCGCGCTGCTCTCGTCGAGCAGCGCCGCAACAACTCCGCTGCCGTCGCCATCCTGATGCTGCGGGAGTTGCCCAGCACGGCCCTCATCAGGACCGGCATCAGGCGCGCGACCTCCTGCGAGTCCATCGGGGGAGGGGGGTGGGGTGCTCCAGTGCGTCTGCTGGCAGCCCGTGCGAGCGCCCCGCAGCCAGCTGGACGGGCTCCTGGCCTCCCTCCTCTGCCGCCTCTGGGCCGCCGCTGCAGCTCGGCCTGGGGCGCGGGCCTCTGACTGCCACTGCGCGCGGGCTGCTGCTGGCGACCTCCACGCTGGCGGGAAGCGCGGGCCGAGCCAGAGCGGCCCCTCCCGGCGCTTCGACCTCCTGGCTCGCTCCATCGAAACCTCTCGGCCACGTCCAGCGCCGCCTGCCCGAGACGACGCATCGCGCTGAATCGGGACCCTCGGGGGGCGCACGCGCCCACGCCGATGAAGGGCGACGCGATCCTCATGCGGCCCCGACATATCGCACCAGAACTCGAGGCAGGTACCCCCAATCACGGACATCACACGCAGGGGGCTCGTAGGGCGCACCAAGTCGGAGGGGTCGAGATCGGGATTGTGGATGGGCGTCGCGAAGGCCGGACATCGGCCCCGAAGAACCGCCTGGACTGCATTTCCCTGGGCTGTTCGTTTCGCCCGAAAGGCCTGGAGTCAGAAATTCCACTCGTCGGTGACCGTGAGAGCGCGGAGGGCGGAGCGGCAGGAGCGGCCCCCGCACTTGGAGAGGCGCCGATGCGGATGCATGGGCTTGCGGGCCAAGAAGGCCCCCCCACAGACGGCCACCTCGGCAGTCGTCAGCCGGCAAACCCAGGGCGCTGCAGGAGGGGGCTCCACAGGTGGTCCTATGTGGCGGGCCAGGAGGAGGTCCGTAGAGGCCTGGAGGCGGCGGGATGCTGACCGGCTTGGCCTCCGCCCTCATGGCCCCAGGATCCAGCGCCAGAAACTACCCCCGAGGGTGGTCGCCCATGAAGGAGGCTCGAACACGCAGTCGTAACTCAGGGGCCCGCGCAGGGCCCGAGAGCAGCCAAGACTCCAAGACTCCTCCTCGGACCCCGGGACCATGGCGAGGACGTCCTTCGCGACGCGCTGGGCGCAGGGGTTGGCAGCAACCTGTAGATAGCCGTTTGCATCCAACGTCGGAAGCCCCTCCACTGGGAGATGGCCAAACACAGCACCCATCTCCTGCGGATGGGCCATCGGGTCACGGATCCATCGTTGATAGAGACGTAGCCTGCGAACTCTCAAGCCAACCGAATACGGGGCAAGGCGAACACGACAAATAACGACTTCATCTGAGGGAGCCCGAGAGCGCAGAACATGTTGGCCATTTTCATGTATAACGGGAGCTCCTCGCTCATCCGAAACCTCGATCGCCTGGCAAACCGTGCCTTCAAGAATCTTTCGGGCGAGGCCCGCCAGGACCTCGTCCAGCCGGCGCTCCAGGGTCTCCGAGGTGATCGCGGTGCTCTGCCCAGACAAGATCGCCCCCCCCGACCACCGCCCCGAACGCGATCCTCGTCAGACTCTGGACCCTGTTCTTGGTCCAGAAGGGCCCCAAGGAGTAGTCGCCCCGCCGGGCCGCCTGGATTCGCCTCTGCAGTGCCCCCTGGACACGCCCGTTGATGGACATCTGGATCCCGAGAGCCAAATTATCGAATTGAACCCGTCCTGGAAGCGGCGTTGGTTCTTCGAGAACGGCGGCGCAGTGAGCTCTCGACCCAGGACCGACATGTGAAGGAGACGCGCTGTCTTTTCTTAGATTGTGCGCGTAGCCGTCTGCGCCCAGAGCTGTCTGTAGATGCTTGTGGGCGCGCTGTAACGTGAACTGCGCGTTCCTGGCGGTCGTCACGATGTGGGTATTGCTGGTGTCGCCGGCGTAGATGCGGCGTGACAAATCTGCGGGGGCCTGTGAGATAGGTGCCCCCGCTGTGCACGAATGCTCGCTGGACCAACAAATGTCATCGTCGATGCGCGGAGGCGTCGGAGGCGCCAGGGGATGCGATGACGAACTGTCGTAGTCCTGAGCCCGCGGCGGCGTCTCCATGTTCCACGTCTGGTGCCGAAGGGCGTCGAGCCAGTGATGCGCAGGCCTCCTGAAGGTGCGGGCGAAGAAGACCGCCGCCGCTGCGTCGCCCATGAAGGCCCCGAATAGGTTGTACACGATCTGATATCCATCAGCCGCGCTGGTGGTGACGGTTCTATGCTCGTGCCCCTGGTGAAGTAGCACTGGTCCTCGTCGCGGATCGACTCTGTCGCAGTCTCGCGCAACAAGGAAAATGTGGAGCAGCCAAACGCATTCGCCATGTTCTCCTTGGACGTAACTGAGGAGATGCCTGCCATGCGGAGCCTCCACAGCAGCGCCCCCTGGCATATATCCTGCCCCCCCCCCCCCCCCCCCCGCGACTGCGGCAATGGAGAGAGCCGCGCCCGCGAGGCGGACGACATCCTGCTGGCCGAGCATGGGCAGAGCCTTGAACCGCAGCGCACCCGCGCGGCACAGGCCATGGATGTAGAACCTCGCAGCGAAGCCAATCTTGCCGCTCTGCTCGTCAAGGCCCGCCACCCTGGAGCGGTGCCAACCGACGGGGGCGCACTGGAACCATCTGATACGGAAGAAGTTATTGCTCGGCGCTTTCAGGCTGAACTCGCTGCTGACAGGCTCGCCCGCCTCAGCTTCCAAGCATCTGCGACCGCCTGCAAGTCGCGCGCGAGGGAAAAACTGAGGTTGGGGGACTGGTCGCTGGGAAGGTGCGTATTCATCTTCGTCGTTGTCCCTGCGCCTGGGCTTCCGGTGCGACCCGTCGAAGCGATGGTTCGCGTCCAAGAGCGCCATGGGGATCTCGGTCGGCACCGAGTGGAGAGGCGCCGCCTGGCGCCTGGGAGCCTTCACCGCCAGCTCAGTCACCGCCTCCAGGTCGCCCCGCCCATTCTCCGCGCGCAGGTAGTTGTCGCTGCCGAGCGATGGCGGCGGCGGGGGGCCCTCCAGAAACTGCTGCTGGCGCGATGCTAATTCGACGGGGGCGGCGTCAAATCCCCCCCGCATGCCCTGGGCCTCCGAAGTGGGCTCGCACCTCCTCGTGGCGAGGAGCGAGGGTGGAGGCCACGTTGATCCGGCGTTTCGTGGGCCCGCTGCACTTCCCTGCGAGCAGATGGGCG